GAATGCTGTGCACGTACATTTATATTCTGTATACAACTTCCACTGCATCTTTTTATCATTTGATTTTAATAGCTTGGGAGAGGCATGTGGCGATAGCGAGATGGACGAAATACAAAGTTATTGTGACAAAGAAACGCGTAAAGAGATATGCAGGGATCGCTTGGATAACAGCTATTCTGACAGTTGCGTTTCATGTGATATTTACAGCACCTGGTACTCAGCATGAAGTTGCCCTGGTCATTAAAGCCAGTGTTTTCTTCGTCTGGCTTGTGGGCATTTCTCTAATGGCGTATTTTTATCGCATGGTTTACATCGAAACGCGGAAACTGAAGGGAGGTCAGATCAGCCGAGTAAGTGTTCAAGTGGGAACAAGTATAGAGAGGAAAATTGGCCACACTACGCTCTTTGTGACAGTAGCTGTTCTTGTCTGCATTGTTCCCTTCGTAGTTGTTTTCATGTTAGCGCACTTTTTCCCATTTTTACGCAGTTTTAGGGTTTTCCGATGGGTGGAAATTTCCCTCCAGTTGAACTCTTTGGTGAATCCAGCGATCTATTTCTTTAGAAACAACCGCTACAGGAATGCTGCATTAAAGTTTTTAAGACTCAGGAAGCCTAAAAAAGTCGGGTTAATAGGCAGGAACACTTGGGGTGGAGGGTCAGCAAGCACGTCGAGGCGGCGCCACGATTTCATTTTGTCCTGGCGTGTTGGAAAATTTGTGGACAATGAATGCAGCCGACCCCCAAGACGTTCACAGTCTTTCGCAGAAGAGAAACACAGGGGCAGGGAGACGCCCGGAGTGTCAAAAGGCACTCACTTAGGTAGGTTTCATACTATAGGAATGGGTGAATGGAGAAATACCTAGGAAATTACAGGGGACAACAAAAAAGGGTTCACCACACCCCTCTATACTCCCCGCTGACATCCCTTTGTCGGACTACTTTTCTCTCATGGTTGATCCACTTTTACAAACTACTTCTTAACAATTGAACCCTTAGGAGTGACTAGCCTCTCAAATCTAATTACAATATCACCCCTGAATCACAGATTAAGGTCACGAGGATAGAAGAAACGATCACCGGCTAAATAAGCTCTCGATTGTTACACAAATTCTCCTTGTCAGCACCTAACGAAATGTACAGAGGAGGGAGAATATAAATACTGATGTTGGAGCGTAAAAGGGTTCATAACTACATAATATGTCACTTGCAGTATCTCACCAAACTCCACAATGATAATTAACTAAATTTATTACATTTTTAACGGGGTAAGTTTATCTAGTGGTCAAAGTTTGCATAAGTTCAGTAAAAATCTTTTCAATGAGACCTAATTTCCCCTTGGAAGCTACAAGAAGTGTCAGAGACTAACCAAGAGTTTTTATACCTTTCTTAGACTATTCAGAGAACAATACTGTTCAGAAAACAATGCCGACAGAACGTAACAACCGGAAGCGATTATCAAGACAACACCAAGCGCGTCACAGAACTCGCTCGATGAGCAATGACGATACGAAGTATTCTCTCGTCGCTTTTCACCAAGAGCACTCTTGTGACAACTTAAACATACAAATGTAAAAGGGACGTTCTTGCTTGGGATGTTTCTTCAGGCATCGTGTAAATATTGAATCGTTGTGACGCATTAAAATAATTCGACATAATTCCTAGACCGTACTTTTTGTTATCTTCGTCGCGTATCTTTTGGTTTCTTCTTGTTCCTGTAAGGATCCTCGAACTGAGCCTGTAGTTGGTCGGCGGATACTCCCTGTATGAATTGAGGTACTTGCTGGATGAAAGGAATGAGCTGAAGATAAAAAAGAAAATAAATAAGTTGCATTTTTCCGCCCTAAGAAAAGTGATACAAGAGCGTTTATCTAGAGAAAGCAGTCTACCTCAGAAGCGGACATGAAAATAAGATTGAGCTTACAGTAGTTTACAGTAGCTGTAAGCGTGATTTGGACAGCCTTTCCACTAAAAGCCTGAAACCAATCGAAACTGTTACAACAGAAAATAAACGGGTGGTAATCTATAGATACCCGGTTTCCGCCTCATCATGACAATAAAAACGTAAACGATTCCAGTTTTACGTACCTTATTGTGGTTCACAGCTAACACAATCAGAATCACTAACAAAGGTAACGTCAGAAATGATCCTTGGCTTGGTTCCGGTTCAACTTTACGCGGCTGAGGGAAATTAGAAAAAACGAAACAAAAAAAAGATCATCGATCAAAAAAAAAAAAAAAAGGGCATCAATGAAATAAAGCATTTCCCTGAACGACTAGTGAATTTGACTCAACAAATGCGAGTAACAGTTCACATCCGGGATGCAGACAAATTGGGAAGCACGTCATACCTGTGGTTCAAACTTGAACGTAACATGAGCCCGCACTCCAGTGGCAGTGACCGTAGATTCAGGTCGGATGTACTGATAGTTAAGTGATGAGAGGGAAGACTCCAAACGAACGATGTACACTTGTCCATCATTAGGCACTGACGGAAACTGGAAGTAACTGGCCACACTCACGGGAGTCGTGAATACTGGAGTCTCTGGATTACTCTCTGGAGACAGCGTTACCTGAGTTTTAAAATATCGTGTTGAGTTATTCGTGGTCTCCTTTAAAACATTCAAGTGCATTACATTTCTTACCCAAAGTTCATGCGCTGTGGGAAATTCCGGAATGACATCAGTTAAATGGCTTACAAAGCCCTCTTTTTTCTTTTTAATTTGATGTTCAGAGGAATAAACCCTTGAAACAAACACCTTTTGTGCCGAGGGGTAAGAAACATCCAAAAAGGAAAGAGGAGAGAGAAGGTTAAGGAAGCTGACCAGGATTTCGAATAACAAAAACTTAGTGAAAAATGAGCAAATTTACACTAGGTGAAAATACCGCCCCCAAGCCCCTGACACGCTGGATTTCTTGAGCACGAGTTGAAAATTCACATCACTGTTTGGAGGTGTGGCAATAGATTTTAATACTTACCTTTAGAGATGAAACGAATTTACTGTCCGTGTCCACATTTCCCGTGATTTCAAATTGATTGATGTGACGGAAGGCGATCATGTTAACATTCTGAAGGTCTGTTGAAGACACCTGTTAACAAAAAAAGGATAAATTTGATAATTTTTTTAACTGCTAATGGTGAATCATCTCAAGAGACTAATGCTGATGAATTTAGTTCCTGTGTTCGCAGCGGTTTACGAGTAACACTCGGAGAAAAAAAAACTCTCGAAAGTACAGTTAGCTTTCATTTGAATGGTAACACACCTTAGGGTTTCCTCCATTCATTCATAAACTTAGCGGGTTTAATAGAATTTCAGTTGCACATTAGACATGAACCATGATGACACTTCCATTCACGGAGCAAAGAGTTAAAGCTTAATTACAAAGCATATCTACACAAAATCATACGAAAGTACTGCTGTGGGTATTCATTCGATTAGTCACCCCTCAAACCTTGGACTTCACAATCCCAAGCACATAGAAATAAATGTAATACTCAGTGGCTTGCAATCTATAAACCCACTGACCCCTGACCCCTGAGAGTAACTAGCATCTAATTTCATGAGAATAAAGAAAATTATCACCAACTAAAGAAACTCTTGATTGCTAAACAAATTCTCCTTGTCAGCACCTTGGGAAATGTATAGATAACAGTAATGAGAATATGCATACTGACGTCTGGGTGTAAAGGGTAAAACTGTGACAAAAAAAAACAAAACAAAACAAATAAATTAAGGAAAATGAAAAAAATAGAACTATCATAATCCTGACCTGTATATCAATAAATGACGGGGAAGCTCTCTCGATATGCGGATTGCTGTCTCCGATCTTTACTCGAACTCTGTACATACAGCCAGGCTGAAAGTAAACAGTCTTTGTCATTCCAAACCAAACAACTAGCGCAATCTTTGGATAACAAATATTTAGGGATAACATTGGTGTTGCTTCACTTTACGCTGTGATTGGTCTAAAATTTCAACATCTAAAAAACTAAAAACCATTCGCGAGTTGGTTATCCGCGTTTTCCGGTGCTCAAGGTATTGATTCCTCATTGATTGTATGTGATGCCAGCCTTGGGTTTTCAATGGCTGTGGCGATTTTATTACTTGTTTTTGGTTGCACGAAACTCTCTTTCTTACGCTCTTACAACCAAAACAAGAAACTCAAATTTTTAGAAGAGTAGTAACCTGAAGTCCACGTAATCGGTATTGTCCTTCTTGATCTGAAACTGTTTCTTCTTGAAAAGATTCGCAACTTTCCAGACCGATCGCCTGAAATATAGAGATGGTTCAAATTACACTTAAATTCAGATTGTCAAAAATAAAACTCTCACAGAGTTCCTTAGCATCAGATTCTACGAAAAAATAATGTAATATCCTAAGCACGTACCTCAACTGCCACGCCTTTCTCTGGTTCACCATTTAGCGAGGAAATCGCCCCAAAACAGCTGTAAGGAAAACAAAAATTAGCTATATGTGAAGAGAGTTGTCTGTTCGTCTTGTCACAAGCGTGGGACCAAGGAAAAAAATGAGTCACCAAACAACAAAACAGATACCCACTTGAAAATTGCTCCATTACAAAGCCTTTTTTTTTACCTAAACGCAACTCTTTTTCCTTTGACCTGCAGTTGAACAATTGAACCTTCACCCACATCAATCATCTGTGAAGAACAGTAAATACTTATCAATGAACAGCTCTCCAGTTTAGAGTGACTATTAATTACAAGTATAAAAGATAAATCTGCGAAACAATTTCCAAACTAGTCACGATTTTTTTTCGCTATGAAAAACTGAGTCTCAAATTTTTCAAGTTTATCATTTGTAATCCGTGTTGAAGTCTTTCACTCCCATGAATGACTAAGACAGATTTTTTCTTTAGTATATCAATACAATATCAAGCGTAGAAAAAGTGAGTACATAGAAAATCTCTATCAGGGGATTGTGGGTTGATCCAATACCAAATCTCCGAACTAACGTCATGAGAATTGTATAGCAGACAGTAAGGAGAATTACTACTCAGATCTTGGGAGTAAAAGAGTTTAGTTTTTTTCCATCCTTTAAAAAATCTGGTTCCATTTTGGTTTATTGATACCTCCTAGGTCTCTGTTTGTCATAGCAAAGTATTATTTGGAAATTTGCCTAGGATTAACGAAAGTAACGAACAATCTCTAAAATTTAACGCAAGATTCTTTACATCGAAGACGAAAATAAGAGCTTGAACCTCTCTTGAAAATAGAGCCCTTCCATGTAAGACTTTTCTCTAGCATTTGAAAATCACCCGCTTCCCCTTTACGGCGTTGCTATGTGGTTTTGGTATCAAGATTCAAAGTGCGATAGCAAAAACGAGTCAATTTTCAGTTGCGAACAGTTACATAACTGCACCACTTACCAGAATAAGAACACCAAAGACTACAAGGATCCTTACAAACGTAAAATCAAGAAGAAAATATAGATTTCCCATACTGACCTGCGAAGGAGGCGTGAAGGTATATTCCTTTAACATCGGACGGAAAAAGTATTGTCCTGGGCCCTACAAGACAAAAATACATCAGTAGTAAGAGACATTTTCAGTTGAATGTCGAAAGGATTCCAAGATTTCTTTGGCTTTGCTTTCCCTCAGTCACTGATTGATCAAGGTGGTTTCCAAGCAACTACAATAATGTACGCGTTCGTATACTTGATTCCGCTCGGTTTTCAAACTCTATGAAGCCTACATAGGAAAATTTGCATCACTAACTGTACTAACCAAGTTGGCGAAGACCATGGAGCCATTTTCTAGAGTGAGATTGTTACTGCGAAACTGTCCTGCACTGAGTGACAGAAGAACTGCTGATAATGGCTGGCCGTCTTCATCTGTCACCTGAAATAGAACAAATCAATAGATAAACAAATTGAAACAAATTTTAAGCGTAGAAGCCAAAGTTTCAATGCCAATTTTTATGTTAACTTTTAACAAATACAAAAGAAAACTTTCAAATACCTGAATGACTCATACAAAATTAGTTAATTCATAAACTTGCTTGATCTGATAAGTCAGGTAATTTCCTTCTATCTCTACTTTATGTGTATTTGTAAATTAGTTTGAAAAATTTGGTCTTAAATCAGGAAAAACAGCCTCAAGCTGACGCTGTTTTCGATTATCACAAGCTTCCTGGATAACGTACTGAAATTGTGGAGAGAAGTCAGTGGTCATTCAAGGGAGTTGAACGCTTACGGTCACACAAAATAGCTGATAAAAAAAACTTTAAGCGACGTTAGTAAGTTTACACCCCCAGTCGCTCTTACCGTAATGTCAATCTGCCCAAGCTTCAGCGCTTGAAAATCTCCCTTCTTACCAGCCGCAGGACTGAGTACAAAACCTGCTTTGCTCGCAGCCTGTGAATAAAAAAATACAAGCACAAATAATGACACAAACCCTAAATCTGATTCATAATTCTCTTTCTAGATCGTCAAAACTTTCTCTTAAATCGGCTTAGAGAATTTGGTGTAATATTAAAACGAGCCTCTCCTGCTGAAAGATATGTCTCCTCTTATCACCCGTTCGCAGCAAAATAGAAAAGTTACATTCTAAAAAAAACTCTGGGAGTGATATATCTTGAATTAAAAAGGGAAGGTAGATTTCAAATTAAATAAACTTTTGAATTCACGGGCCGTACAGTGAAATATGGCCGCTAAATTGACCAATCATAGCGCACGTACTTATGGAGATATGTAATAAAACTTATTCCACATCACTCACCAGCGAGTATTCAACGCCACCATGCAGGGGACCCACCCTGTTTCAGAAAAAAAATCATTAGTCTCAGTGAGTGTTACCACACAGACACAAAGATAAGGATTGAAAAATGATGACGACACCCAGAATTTCTTACGAAAGACGTGATCTTTGAGATTAATTAGAATCTGCCAGCTATCTCTTCTTAATCTCAGTGGTAAAATATGTCAACCGCGACAAACCCTTCGTGCAGTTATCAGCTCGGATTAATATCATCTCGTCTGTCTGTTTTTCCATCTGCTCTATGAAAGGCTTTGTGTGCTTGCTGTTTATCATGGATTTCACATAAAGAAATCGTTACACTAACCTATATTTTCCATTCGTGTCTGTTTCCACTTTAATATCGCTAATCGGCTGCTCTCCGGCTGAGGAAATGACAATCTGCACGCCACTCAGGGGAGGGGTGATTTGTCCCTCAATGAACACACCCTTTCTTCCTTCAAACTCAGCCCATGCTGCCGGACAGTCATCTGACAAAGATAAAAAAAACACACATCTCTGGTCATAACATGCGAAAGAGCAGATACTATTTTTTTCCTAGTTTTCGTACGCCCTCGTTGACCTTGTGCTGCCCATCAAACAAGGATATTCTTCACAATCACGATTAACCTTTTAACACCCTAAGATCAGAATATATATTCTCCACACGGTTCTTTCTAGATGACAATTCAGTTCGATTCGAGAATTTGATTTCCATTCGATTCCAAAACTAGCTTCGCCAGACCATGTTTTCGCGACTGGTTAATATTTTGTTCCCTTACCAGAGATGGTGACAAGTTTATTCTCAGGGTAGAACAACAGTTCTGAAGACACTGGGGTAATTTCAAATTCCTCGCCGCGCCTGAAAAAAAAAGAAATCCTTTGCTAATCTACTCATGCAATTTGTACAAGAAAATCAAAATTCAACTTGACAATTGCCTGTACGCGGGATTACATGCTAAAAGCATTATAAAGGCCACAATACACTGTGCCTATCAATCGGAAGTGTACGTGGTTTTAAGTCTAGCCTTTCACCACTCGACGAAAAAGAAAACAAAAACCACTGCACCAGAATTCATTTACCTTCCCCAATGTGAAAAGTTGTATGAAAGCTGTTGTTTTTCCTCGTCTGGTTTGCTGCTGTTTGCATCACTGGAATCTTTCTTTTCGTTTGATTCCGGTTTCAGTGGTCCAAGGATGGTGACTTCTTTGGACTTCAGGGACCTTGTTTTACAAAAAATTAAAATTTAACATATTCTGTTGTTGTTTTTTTATTTGTAAGTTCGTCTTGGACTATTAATATATTATTACCCAAACAAGGAATGGAGAAACTTCAACTTAACACTGCTATACGACTGTAACTAAAGAAAGCACCCTACGGTAGTAAGCGGAAGCATGTCCAATAATTCCCAAGATTATCACAGCTATGATCTTAGCGACAGCCTAACTGTAGGCAAGTCAAAGAACCCCGAACATCATTTTCTGTCCTGCTTTCAACTTTGCCACAAAAGACTTCGATATGACACGAAATTCTCCTGACTAACCTTCAGGGTTAGCAGTCAAATCTTACAACAACGAAGACAACAGTCGTAAAAGTTAAGCTTGCCATGAACATCACAAAAACCATCTCAAACCTGATTTTTATTGTAATATCACTCATAGGTTCCTGAGTCTTGACTGTGCCAGAGAGCAAATGTTTGATGGCTGTCAGTGTCAACACAGATGGTGCAGAGCTGGAAACAAAAATATGTCCTTGGAATTAAGCCAGTTAATGGGACCTTGTTCTTAGATCACAGTTCTTTGTTTACTGTGCTCTGCGATGGAATCTAGAAAAATTGCACCACCCTTCAATCAATCGAACGCAAAACTAAAATAACAAGCGGCTTTGCCACTTGAGTTTTCCTTCTCTGAAAACGGGTTATGTGCTTTGTTCCCTTCATTTCTCTTCACTAACAATGAGCGAACTTACGTGTTATACTTGAACACTTCTTGCTCAAACTGATGGCATGAACGTGGCATCAGGTTGTAAACTCCTGCACATCACAATAAACAAACTGAAATAAGTTCAATGAATAACTGAAAAAGGGAGGAAAGTTTTTAAAGAAACTGTGGTGATGTAACGGTGGGGGAGGTGGGGATCACTAGATAATTCGGTTTTTCAACTGAGTTTATCATTTTAAGAGATTCTACAACTGACGTTTCGAGCGTTAGCCTTTCGTCAGAGCGAATAGAGCGTTAATTTAAGACCTGCAATTAAATGGTGTATAGAAACCACAAGGAATACTAATCCTCGATTACCGAGATCTAGAATTCTAACTCTTCCAACTATGACTATAAATTTTTTTGTTGGCTACTCCTGAGGGTTTAAAATTCAGTGTTACACATATATCCAAACGACACACATGCAAATGTACCAGAGTTTAATATATTACACGCACTCCTTACTAACTGCCTGGTTACGACTTAAAGGCTATGTTAACAGAGTGTTTGGAGATCGGAGATCAGAGAATTCTTTGGTTAAATGTCGATGCCTCTGCCTTTTTAGTTAATTTAGACGTGGAGCCGTCAAAGAATTTACAATATTCTTCTCCTAAACCATTCTTGAGCGTTAGAAGGGTGACAGAAAGTTCCAGTGACTATCCAAACAAAAAATACCAGTGACTTAAAAATGGACAGGAACTCCACAACGTTCGTGGGGTAGGAAATCTGTTACCTGGCTCCTTCAGACAGAAAGTCTTGGTTCCCTTTGGTAAGTCAAAGGAGTCCACCATTTCTTTGTGAGACTCAAGTGAGAAAAACTGCGGAAAAAATAATAAATTTTTAGTGAAATCCCTCCAGTCATCATTTGTCTACAATGAACTGAATTGTACATCTTCTGTGAGTGGTCGCTAATTATACCCTATTGGAGCACAAACGCACTTGCATCATGAAAAAACGTTTTCTCTGTTCTCTCAAAACACAGCATAACATTTTAACAATGGCTGCAAGACCAATTTTTATTCAAAACTGAGCGAGAGATCACTTGGATAAAATTGTGGATGAGCTGTTTTCGAGCAAGGTACGAATTCATGGGCAGAAACGCGTTTGTAGCGACTTCAAAACCTAACCTAACAAGGCTAATTATAGGACGGTCAAGCGATAAGTCGTAAACCCATGATTGACATTATGCCATCAAACTTTGTTGTTTGCTATCCAAAACAAACAGATTCTACTTCATCAGATGTCTGCTAAGTTAAACACTTCCATTCGC